AGGAGCCAGGGAGGGAGACAGAGCCTGCAGGCCACGCCCCCAGCGACCCGCTTCCAACCAGGCCCCACCTCCTAACAGCAAGTCAGCTTTAATGGATCCATGATCCAATCACTTTCCAAAAGCCTGCCTCTAGGCACATGAGAATTCAGGAGGTCATTCTAGATCTAAAGCATAACAATCCTCTATGAGATCTGCAGCCTCCTCTATCAAGGCAGCCACTTCATGATAGGTGACCCCCTAGGGCCCCAGAAGGTACCTATCTTACCTGTAGCATCTCCACTGTGGGGTTTTTGTTTGTTTTGTTTTTGCAACAGTCTCACTATGTAGGCCATGCTGGCCTCAACCTTGCAGCGATCCTCCTGCCTCAGCCTCCCAAGTGTTGGGATTACAGGCATGTGCCAACACACCCGGCTGTAGTGTCTCTATTTGATGACACAGTGTTGCTGAACCTGCTTTTATTTATTTGGATTAGGGAAAAATGAAATCAGATGAACTCAAGAAAAACATTCTGAGACTCAAACCAAGTGGTAAACTCTGCTTACAGCAGTTACGGTATAGTTTATAAAAAGTATAAAGAAGGTCATATTGTTATTTTCTCATGATTGGCAACTACACATTAACATTCTTTGAGGGCAAGTAGAACTGTTTGTCTATAGTAGATTAGGTTTATTTTGCTGAATCATGCTGAAAAAGACAAAATTTGTTTTGTGTTTCATTTATAATCAGTGACAGTGTTTCAGGGAAATTAGAATGATTTTAAGTTTTGGTTACATAGTTATAGGCCGCTGGCCTTGGGATATGTCTAAACCGTAGCACCCATTTGACATTTCTTTAATAGTACCCATGCGAGGATGGGCAGCTCAGCCCGTAAGGGCACCTGTAATACTTCAGGCATTCTGTTTCTACTAGGGCCCAATAGCAAGTTAGGAGTTACCATTCAAAGAAGTGTATCCAGTGATCATCTTAGGTGATTTCCATGTTCAAGACCTGAGAGGGCCACGCTGTTTCTTCTGTCAGGCTCCCATCAGCAGAGGTAGGGGCCTGTGACCTGCGGCTCCCTGTGGGATCCCTTGGCTCCTCTGGCAGGCTGACACCAATGCAGGGGGTGGACCTCTATTGCACCTGTTGTTGGAGGTCTTATTTGGAGCTGGCCTCCTTACAGATAACTAAGCATAGGAAGCAAATGAAACAAAACCAACTGACCAGATGTGGTATAAGTTGTTTTCAAAAGCTAACTAGACCTATCAGAAGTTGTTGAGTTTCCTTATAGATGGGGACAGAGAACGACAATTTCGGTCCTCAGATTATGCCTCTGATTACTGCCCCAGGTGACTCAGGGGCTGCACTTGCTGAGCAAGTCTCTGGACTGCATGAAAGCTGACAGCTTGGCCTTCCTGTGTCCTAGTGTTTATGATGTTACACAGGACTGTTCAATTTGTTTCTTAGGCCAAAAACGAGGAGTCACTGATATAGTGGGTGACGAGTACCTATGGAGATACCTGGGCATGCTGCAGACTACAGAAATTCAAGGATTGCTATGGATTGAGTTATCTTCCTCACAACGCATACAATGACTTCCCTTGGATATTCAGAGCTCAACCAAACCCATGATGAGGCAAACCCTGCCTGGCAGATCTGTAAAGTCGGGACTTTTGAGCTGTTGAGCTTTAGACAATATAGCTGTGACTGTTGTGATATATCAGCTTGACTTCAGTAAGAACCACCTATCAGATTAGTAAATTCTAAGTGTGCTGTGGATGACTGACATGTAGGCCAGCAAACTGAGTGGGGAAGACCCACCCTGGATGTGGGTGACACCAGCCAATAGGCTTGTAGCTTGATCTAGTAAGACTACCTAATAAATCCCTTGCATAATCATACATATATATTGAATATATTCCTCTGTAGCAGACATCCCTGCCCAGTACTAGTGGGCCATGAGTGGCATGTGCTTCTTGCCTTCCATAATTTGGCTATATTGTTTTATATCAGACCAAAGCTCTACGTGACTCAATGAGGATGTCAGATGGCAGACTGGGTGAGTGTAGCCCCTCCCTCAGTGGCTGCCATAGAAACCTAGGCTGTGGTCTGTGAAGTGGCAGGGCTCTGCTGAGTTACGTGCAGCTGAGGTCAGTGTGACCCCAATTAAAATCCTTTCCCCTGAATTATGGCTTCTCACTGACCCGATAGATGGCTTCCTAATTGCACCCAGTCCCAGTACCGGTTTGCTCTATCCAAGCAGGATAAGCAGTGCCGACTCCCTGACAGCCCTGCCTGGCGCCATCATGCCAGGTGTTGGGCAGTGCTTCACTAGATGCCTTCGAAGCATACCTTCCCACGATTGTATTCAATAAATACTGGATGCTCTTGGGGGCCTTTGTCGTTGTTGCCTAGAGCAGCACTGATCAGTCCCAAGACCCAGCTTCTGTCTCGCTTCTTGTCTTTATTCTTTAATTAGCCTTGTGCTGTCATGGCTCACAGGAGGCCAGGACCCAAGGAAGAGGTCCTGGTAAGGTCCCCTTCCTCGCTCCCTACATTCCTCTAGCCCCAACTAATTCAATAGCTGATACTGAAATAAGACTTCTAGGCTTGGTGGGATGGAATAAATGTATTTTGTATGAGACAACATTCATTGTGGAAGGCTGGCAAAAGTGGAATGTTACGTTTCTGTTCAAACTGGTATTTGGAAGACCTTAGTCAGATAACTGAGGTTAGGTCTTGAAGATGGGGCCTTGATAGGACTACTGCCCTTAAAAGAAGTAAAAGAGGCATCAGAAGTCTTATTCTGACATCTGAGGATATAGCAAGATGGTAGGCATCTGGCAAAGACCAGAAAGACAGCCCTCACCAACATTCAACCAAGCTGGCACACTGATGTTGGTTTTTGTTTTATTTTTTGAGAGGACCATGTTGTATAGTCCAAGATAGTCTTGAACTCACTATATCGCCCAGGGTCCCCTTAAACTTGTGATCCTCCTGCCTCAGCCTCCTGAGTGCTGGGACTACAGGTGTGTGCCAACATGTCTGGCATGGCAGAATAATGTTGGATGTTCAGCCCACAGAACTGTGAGGAATCTGTTGTTCAATTCACCCAGTCTATGACATTTTATTATAGCGATTTCAACCGACTAAAATAGTTGCTAAAGATATGTATCTCCCAATCCCCTACCCAAAATAATTAGCCCCAAGTATTCCTAAAAATCCTTTATGTAATAATTCCCTCTTTATGCAAATTCTCCTCGGCATGAAAAGATAAAACAAATCTCCCAAATTCATTTTGCAAAACCAGCAAAACATTACTAAATTAGACACAATTCTGAACTTAATAACACAAAACATGCCACTATGAACAAATATATTTTATTTGAGAAGCATGAGAAAAATTCAATTATTTGGAAATTTACCAGTAAAATGAATTACAAAAAAGACATAGCCCATACAATAACAATTTGCTTAACAGAACTTAGCAACCCTTCTTAATTTAAAATAAAAAACTCTTAAGTAAAATAATCTTCATAGTATATACCATGTCTCAAGCACTGTTTTAAGTATCTTCTATAAATCACAACCCGAGAGGTAGCTGCATTTTTTTTTTTTGGTAGCTGCATTTTATAGGTGGAAGAACCGAAACACAAAGAAGCTAAGAAAGTTGCCCTGGGTCACATGCCTAAAAGACTGGCAGGGCAAGAACTTGCATGCAGGATGCTGAACACAAAATCTGTGCTCTTAATCACTCATTTCTTCTTGTAGAAACAGGAAGAAAAGGAAACTTCTGAACAGGATTCAACAATAAACACTGTAAGAAACTGCAAAATGCTATAAAATATCTTGTCCGAGAGTCAAAAACTTACGTTTTTAACAACTTGCCAGTGCAAACCTAAGAGACACAAGACTGGAAATTGATAACAAATTATTATTTATACATACACAAAAAAGCTAAGATATAAAACTAAAAAAAGTACTAAAACTAAAAATAATTTAGCAGGGCTGGGGATTTAGCTCAGTGGCGCTGCACCTACCTCACAACCACAAAGTCCTGAGTTCAATCGGGGTAGCAGAAGAAAAAATTTAACAAGGTTAAATGGATACCAATATAACATTTTAAAAATAATAAAGTGTATATTAGCAATGGCCAATAGAAACAAAGTATGGCTTTCAAACTGTAGCTATTTCTCCGTCACCTATGATCCTGAGGCTGTCTCCAGGTATCAGGCCATTCGTTTCTGTGAGGCACCAGACTCATGGTAATGAGCTAATAGAGGAATGACGAGCATTGCTTCCCACCCACCATAGAGTGTGCTTGGGAATGAGCAGACAAAAACCAAGAGGTAAAAAAAAATTTCAGCATCAAGCAGGTAGATGGCTATATTGAAGATATGACCAGAAATGTCCAACTAAGCATGAAAGGGTGGCCATTTGCTCATAAAGGTTTAGGCCATTCTCTGGGAAATGGGACACATAGCTCTAGTCCCCTGAACCCCCCTCCCCTGATCCAGCCTGAATGTTTTTAAAAGTAATATAGAGCCAAACACAAAAATATACCTGCAAATATGATTAAAAATACATATTCACCAAAACAAAAAACATATTCACCAAGGCCAAATTTAGTTGTGTCCTGAGTTCAGTAAATTTTTAGACCACCCACAAACTGTGCCCCTAATAAGCCTTTCTAGTTTTGTGAGACGTCTCCCTCAGAATCAGACCTCAACTCCCCACTTATTTTTTTCCTTGCAACTCTGGGGACTGAACCCAGGACCTTGCACATGCTAGATAAGCATACTACCAGTAAGTTAAATCCCCACCCCACTCACAAGACAGGGTCACACTGAGTTGCCCAGACTGGCTTCAAGTTTATAATCCTGATTCCTCAGGATCCCAAGTAGCTGGGATTAAATGTACACCACCACACCTGGCTCATTCTTACTCTTAAACTTTGATTCTCTTCCTTTGTTCTCCACTGACAGAGATATAAACCTCAGTTCACAAACTCTCTCCTCCAGGTTACAAATCTGACATGTCCCCATAACCTACACATCCAGCTCTGCCACCTTGCTCATCCCATGCTGTTAAAAGGAAGTTAGGGAGGATGAAAAGAGAGAGAGTATGTACCACATAGAAAAGACCTCAGGACCCATGACACCATGACAAGGGTGGAAGGGAAGTTGTTCAGGCTCACAACTGACACATGACTAGAAGCACAGAAAATTGTTTAAGAGATCCTATTTCTTATGACTTTGTGGAAAGAAAGATGGCCCAGAAAAGGGTACAGTTTCATTTTGAAGATGCCAGTTGTATGTACAGGCTTAGTTGATAAGGAAAACATATTAGCTTCACTCTATTGCTTGTCACAAAACTTATCACCGTAAATTCCAATTATCCAGGACTTCTGACTGTAAAATCTATTTAAGAAGCAGGATGCAGTCAGCTAGTTTAAAACCTGAGTCAACATGTACAGTAAAAAGGGCCCAGGGGGACACAATTACCCAACCTATCATCTAGATACATACGTATTCACAAACAAATCCGTTAGCTATATAATGCCAAAGTACCAGTAGTAAGACATCCAGAGGTGCACACAATATATAGGAGAGCTGTCTGTATGTGATACTCTCTGATGCCACATCTATCTTTCAGACCATCTTGTCCAATGAATAAGAGGAAGGCAACTTTACAGATCAAGGTAGATTTGGCAGTTGAGTTTACAACTTATTTTTAAAAAATAAAAATGTAGGAAAAAAAAAATGTAGGGCCAGGGATTTAGCTCGGTGGTTCCGCCGCCTGCCTTGCAAGCGCAAGGACCTGAGTTTGATGCCCGGTACCAAAAATAAAAAATAAAAAAAGTTTTTTTAAATGTATTTAAGAATGAGTACTAAAACTACTGTCTTCTTAAAAACAAACAGATACCATACCCATTCTAAAGAGCTTTCAAGTTATCATGAAGTATACTCACACATATTAAGTTGAAGATAATTTACACAGTACTTAGCAGTTGTAATTGCAGTGCCAACTAAAAATTTTTAACTTGAGGTCCAGTCAACAGAAGCTCAAGAGGAACCACGAAGCATGTGAAGAGCACCAGAGGTGAGGTGGATCTTGGGCACTGCAAGGGAGCGTGGGTTAGCAAACAGGAAGAACAGCTTTCCTGGATAAGAAACAAACCAGAGGTTAAAGATGAGAACAAGTTTAAAAACTACATGTGGACAGTGACAGCTAAGAAGCAGGAAAAAGACTTACAGATGGCTTCATACAAAAACTGTAGACGGGGACTATAGAATGACTGCATAAGTAATGAAACTGAGTACCTACAGTAGAATAAAGATATACTCATTCTTCCTTATAAATACAATTCATGATGAGATGAATACTAACAAATGAGATTTTAAAATACTTAAAGGAAGAAAGAGGCCAATCACATGTAAATGAAATGTTTGGTCCTTAATTCTACAATAGTGAGGAAGAATTGCATTAATCTCTCACCTCAGTGGCCCAAGAGAAAACACTAGGGAATAGTGCTTATCTTCCAAGAGAAGATAACGGTGAACAGACTTTTGACAAAGTAGCTTTACCCAAAGTCCCTTGGTCTCTAAGAACAACACCTAAAGAACAGGGCAGACCTGAGGGCTTCTCTCCAGTGTGAGTTCGCTGGTGGTGGTTGAAAGTGGAACGCTGACTGAAGGCTTTCCCACACTCACTACATTCATACGGTTTCTCTCCGGTGTGAACTCTCTGGTGCACGATAAGCTGGGAGCTGTCACTGAAGGCTTTCCCACACTCCTTGCACTTATAGGGTTTCTCCCCAGTGTGTGTTCTCTGGTGGACCATAAGGCTAGAGCTGTAACTGAAGACCTTCCCACACTCACTACATTCATACAGTTTCTCTCCAGTGTGAATCCGCTGGTGAATAATGAGGTGAGAGTTTTGATTAAAGGACTTCCCACATTCGTTGCATTTATAGGGCTTTTCACCTGTGTGAAGTCTCTGGTGCCGAACAAGGCACTTACTCAGACCAAATGCCTTACCACATTCACCACATTCAAAAGGTTTTTCTCCAGTATGAATTCGCTCATGGTCAATGAGTTGAGTTTTGATTGAAGGCTTTCCCACATTCACTACATCTGTATGGTTTTTCCCCAGTGTGGAGGCTCTGGTGTCGAATAAGACACTTACTCCGACTGAATGCCCTGCCACACTCATTACACTCATAGGGCCTCTCCCTAGTGTGGATTCTCTGATGGTCAGTAAGGTTTCTGTTGGAACAGAAGGCTTTCCCACACTCAGCACACTTGTAAGGTTTCTTCCCAGAATGAAGAAACTGGTGTCGACCAAGATTTTTACTCGCGGGCTGGGGATTTAGCTCAGTGGTTCCACCACCTGCCTCGTAAGTGCAAGGACCCAAATTTGATCCCTGGTACAAAAAAAAAAAGACTTTTACTCCAACTAAAGGCTATCCCACACTCCTTGCATTCATAAGGTTTCTCCCCAGTATGAGTTCTCTGGTGGTCTAAGAGTTTAGAGCTCAGATTAAAAGCTTTTGCACATTCGCTACATTTATAAGGTCTCTGCCCATTATGGAGCCGCTGGTGCTGGATGAGGTGGGAGCTGTGCCGATAGGTCTTCCCACACTCGTTACATTCGTAGGGTTTCTCCCCTGTGTGGGTTCTGAGATGAACAATGAGCTGAGAGGGCTGCCTGAAGGTCTTGCCACACTCATTACACTCACAGGGGTTCTCTCCAGTGTGGATTCTCTGGTGGCCAAGGAGGTGTGAACTCCGACTGAACACTTTCCCACACGCATCGCATTGACAGAATTTCTGTCCCTTTGGAGCTCCCAGGCGTTGTGCAGGGCTGGAGGACAGATGTGGATGTCCCTTCACTTCCATATATTCTTTACATCTGTCTTTTGTGGAATTTTTATCCTTGTCTGGTATTTCCAAGAAATCACTTTCCAGTCCACTCCCTTCTTCTTCTAAGGGCTGGCCTTCCAGCTGCTCTAAAGTATCTTTGTAGACATCGTCAGCATCTGGTCCGGGAGCCACCACAAAGAGTCCCTCTGATGACCTCTCAGATGTCTCTGATTGCTTAGAAATGGCCTTTGCAGTGGACTCTGAACTGTCCATGCTGTTTTCACCTGCTGCCAAAAGTAACAAGGCAACAACTTTTATTCTTACCCTGTGGTACAAGCCTGTGTCACATTATGTAACATTAAGAAATGAAATGATACAAGGAAAAGAAAATAGAAAATTGGAACACCTATCCCTCCTTTTCTCTTGAGGGATAGAAAAACAAAGTGAGGCGGGGTCAGTGGAGGTGAATGGAAAAAAACCCAACAAGACAGGTGGACTTTGAGCCAGCACAGCCTGTTAGAATGATTGGAAATCAAGAGCTAGATTGCAATGCAGGTGAAAGCTTCCAAAAGTCCCCGTGATGCTATCTCTTTGGTAAAATAAACCTGTCTGCCTTTCTTTGGCACTGAGAAAGCATACAAGAGCAGCCTAGGGGCCGGGGATTTAGCTCAGTGGTTCCACCTGCCTCGCAAGCGCAAGGTCTCAAGTTCAATCCCTGGTACCAAAAAAAAAAAAAAATAGCAGCCTACTTCTTCGGTCCCAGTACATGCAGTCAGACATACATATGTACGCAACACCTTTAGTATACACTTCCATGGCTGAAGGTGAGAGCTAAACCTTTGTTTAAAATCTGCATTTTTGTAGACTGGCTCTTCTTTGAAAGGACAACCAGCCTAACAAATAAAAGTTTGTCACTTTCCTGCACAAACAGCACTTGTTGAGCACTTACAGCTTAATGTAAATGTGTAGAATGATAAACTACAAACACAATGTTGTACTCATCCTTGGAAAAAAAAATGTTTAAGTGATGTTGTCATGACAGGACAAATTTCTTTCTATTTTTTTTATTTTTGGTGGTACTGGGGATGAAACTCAGGACCTTGTGTTTGTGAGGCAGGCAAAGTGCCACTGAGCTAAATCTCCAACCCGACAGGACCAATTTAAACCCAAAATATTGAACAAATGGAGCTCGGGTGCAGCTCATTGGTAGAGCAACCTCTCCCCAGTATGTGTCCTGGGTTCAAAGCCCAGGACAGAGGGGGGAAAAGAAAAATGGAAAAAGAAATACATTCTGCCATTTCAAATTTTTAAAAGTTATTATGAATCTACTTAATGCCATTAAATTATATACTTTTCAGTGGTTAAAACTGTGGGTAGTATAAACCAAGACTGTCCCATCACACCACTATGAAAAAGTGTTTAAAAAGTAATGGCATTGTGACCCAGCTTCATAACCAAAACACGTACAAGTATGAGTGTGTATATTTATGCATGTTTTCTTTTTGTTGTTTTGTCTTTGTTTTTTGGTACTAAAAACTGAATCCAGGGCCTTCAAACTGAGCTACATCCCCAGCCCTATTTTATTTCTATTTTAAGGTAGTGATAGAGAGGTGCTATACAATGCGACAGGCCCTTGTCTTGCCTCCATTTTTTTTTTTTTTCCACAGAATGCTGTTTTGGAAACGTAACCTTGTGCTACTGGGGTCCTGCCCAGTGTATCAAAATGGTTTGTGATGGGCCGGGGATTTAGCTCAGTGGTTTTGCCACCTGCTTCGCAAAGGGAAGGACCTGAGTTCGATCCTCGGTACCAAAAAAAAGGTTTGTGACTGTTTGAACTGTGTGACCTTTCAGGAATGTTCTGTTAGGCTCTGCCTCCACTCAGGAATGTTCTGTAACCCCGCCCCTTTACTTCAGGAATGTTCTGTAACTCCGCCCCCTGCTTCATTGAACATGCTCGCCTACTCTGTAGATCCCTATATAAGGTGGCTCTCATTTCTCGCTGGCGTAATAAAGGTCTTTCTCCACCTCTTCTACTAACCATTGGATTCTCCAGTCTTCAAACAATGCGAGCTGTGACCCAGAGCCGCCACACTGAGCTGCAAAGCTCAGCTGTGCCTCAGAGCTGTGGCACTTGGTTGCAACCCTGAGCTATAACACTTAGCCGTGACACTTGGCTACAGCACTGAGCTGCTACGCTCTGCCGCAACAAGAGGGCCTCGCTAAGTCGCTCTGTGATCCTCCTTCGTCAGCCTCCCACAGTGCTGGGATCCCAGGCCGGCACCCCCACGCCCCGCTCCCGGAGACCAGGACCCCGGCCTTGATTCGTCCAATCGGCGCGCAGTCTCTCAGGCCCGGAACTTGCATCCCCCCAGCCCGCCCTTGCCCTGCGGGAAGAGCTTCCCACCGCGCCCTCGGGAAGCCCCTACCCCCCGGTCCCCGCCCTCTGCCCCCGCCGTGCCAACCCCACGCGAGCCCCGTCTTCCCTACCCACCGCTCACCGCCTCACGGTACCGCTCACTGCCCTCTCTCTCCCGTCCTGCCGCCACTTCTGCTGTGGGTCGCGCACAGGCGCCGCCATTGCCCTGCGTGACCACTCTGGGACCCGGGAGGACTGGCGTCTCTATTCCTCCCGCCCCGAGATCCCGCCCCGCTCCCTCTGCGACCGGGTACCCCTGGGCTGCCGCTCTAAGACTCCGGAGGCCTGTGGTCTCGTCTTCTCCCGGCTAACTCCGGGCTGACGCGGGGCCTGGGAGGAGCCCAGCTGGGGACAGCATGGAACCAGCAAGACAGGAAACATCAGTCCCCTATGTGAGATTGAACAACAGTTACTCCATGTAATAGGGCCCCAACTTGTCTGCTTCTGTTACGGATCACCAGGTAGACATCGAGTTCCAGGAATGTGCTTCTTGTTGTGCCAGGAAGGTCTGTTGTGTGCGTAGTGTTCCGTCATGCTTGCCCAACTCCATATCTGAATATGTTATCTTAAGAACAATCTGTAAAAATTCCTTCTGCGTTTCGCTTCTGTATTTCTGCTTGCCAACTTCCCTCTAGCATCTCCTATAGAAGAACCTCAGGCTCTGAGCCGGGCGCCTTTCTAAGCTACTTTGCTTTGGAAGTGCCGTCTGGCCAGACTCATAAAGGTCTGTTTTACTTTCCAACTTGTCCAGTGTGTTCCTTCCCGGGTGATCTTCGCTGTAGTCAGCTCCTCGGAGCGTTTGGTAAGGCCCTCGGTCTTACACCCTAAGCAGGAGAAGAAGCTCCCAAACGAGACTCTTTGAGGGTGCAGGAAGGTCCAGGCCCTGACCAGCTCACTGTATTCTCTGACTCCGTCTTGCAGTCGACATTCTTCCTTCTGAGTTCTCCCTTGTGTGTGCTGTATGTGTGTGGTGGGTGTGTTTATGATTGTGTAAGTGTGTGAGTGGTGTGTGAGTCCATGTGGTGTGTGCTGGGGATGGAACACAGCCCTGTGCTTCCCTCAGTCACTTTGGGTCTAAGGAAAGACAGGTCTGATGGGTGAACATATGACACAGGACAGAAACTACCCCACCCAAGCCACAGCCAACAAGTCTTGGCACCAACAAAGTTCCCTATGGCTGCCTCGAGATTGGCGGGGGGTAATGATCAGCCAGATCAGGGCAGGACCAAGACGACCTGGGGCACTAACCAAGGAAACCCCAGCCCTTGCCTCTGTCCTTCCCGTGTGACTGTGAGACTGCTGTGGGCCTTTTTGAAGGGAGCTGTTTCATTGGTAAACCTCTGTTCTCCCCGTGATAGTAAAACTCCTTTCCTGCCTGCACCACTGCTTCTCTGTCTGAAGGTCTTTGGGGCCAGGTTTCCCTCCTGTCCGCTGGGCTCCCTGGAGCCTGCAGGAAGGCATTGGGGAGGATTGCACCCTAACCATGGCAGCAAGGGTTCTGCTCCTCCCGTAAAGACGCGTGCCAGGCAGTAGGAAGAATGCTTTTGCAACTGTTCAAGCATTGCAGGCCTCCACGTGCCTGCCTTTCCCAACACAGACACCCAGTTTCTTACTGTGGAGAGCACAACACCTTTGCAGGAAAAACAGACAACCAGAAATTACAGAAAGAAACTGCAAACGCTTCCAAACACTATGTTGAAAGCAACATTTTCTGATACCCTCTTAGCTCCTCCAGCTCTTAGCACTGCCAGCCACACGCTGGTTTGGATTGCCCGAGGAAATAGGGTCAGTGAGTGGAAGAGCCTCTGTGGCCAAGGCCTTTGGTGCTTCCACCACAGAAGTGTGCAAAATCTCTCCTGTCCTGCCTCCATGCAGAGGAAGAGAGGGATAGCAGGAGTTTTAGCTGGCACTGGAGGGGCTGGGCAGCAGGGGTGTGGGCAGGACAATAAGGAGGGCTAGAAAGGATCAAGGAGAAGGCTCCACAGAAAACAAAAATCCCTGTTCAGGAATAGAAACTGCTCAGGGAAACAGGCTGCTTCAAACCATTAAGGCTCAGAGTGCACTTGAAGAACTGGCGAGGAACTGGGCACTCTGAGCCTTAATGGTTTGAAGCAGCCCATTTGCACATCTGTAAACCCAGTGTTCTAAGAAATGGAGGCAGGAGGGACACAAGCTCAAGCCCAGCCTGGGCAACCTAGCCAGACCTTGTCTCAATAAAAATAGAGCTGGTGGTGCAGCTCAGTGTCCAGTGCTGGGTTCAGTTCTCAGTACTGAAAGCCAGGGTGAGGGTGGGGTGGACAGAAAGAAAGAAATAGAGTTGAGTAAGTGTCAAAACTCAGGCTGCAAATTCAGGACAGTCTGGTTCCTAACAAAAAGCTGGCAACACTGTGTGTGGCATTCATTATAAGTAGTGGGAGCAGGTACAAGCAATGAGAGATTCACTTTGTGCACACAGTGACAGCCATTGTGATTCTTAGTATTTTTTGAAGTTTTCATGGGAGTTTCTCCAAAATAGACCATATTCTAGCTCATAAAGTTCTCATACACAGGCTGGTAAATAGTGGCCGTCCAGCTCCCTAAGGCCCCCCTGACTCCAACATTCTTGAATCATTCTCACAGTCCAGTGACTGTCAAAAAACAAAATCACAAGAAATTTAGTTTATAGATCTAATTGATTATGTTTGCAATTGATAAATCGAGGTGTTGCCAGACCCAAATCCTGAGCCCCAATCCTGAGGAGCTAAGAGGAGGTAGGAGGCCATCAGGATTTTTCAAGGGTGTCCCTGAGGACAGTGGAGGAGACAGCTCTTCCCAGATCTGTCTGCCTGTAGTCCTTGTCAGGAAGCGCTGTCCAGCTGCAGCCGTGGACAACCCTGTTGTGCCACCATCTGCCACGTGCCTGGGCACAGTGAACAGCTGGCAGCACCGCAACATGGAGTTATGTTCAGAGGGCTCAGAGGACAATTCTCACTACAGGTACAGAGTGTTTATGGGAGGGAGAAGGCTGCAGAGCTGTGTCAGTGAAGGCTCCTGTCATCTCCAGGGCATCACAGTGGCCCCGGCCCCTTGAAGGTCGTTACTAAAGGTCAGTACAAAGGCCATCTGTGTTCCGTGAGTCTTAAGAAAGGGTTAGTGATTTTCATCTAGGTGGCTTCTCTAGGGAGGGGCAAAATGCAAGGGAGAGCCAAGGCCAATTTCAAGAGTATACCTGATAGGAAGGAGGGTCTCATTCCATAAAATAATAATAATAATAATAATAGCTCCTACTGAAATGAAAAAGCAATGCATTTTTTAAGGCAGGAAAAAGTAACAGAATGGAAAAAAGCAGATTGGTTAACACGACAGGACATTGGGCAGTCTTCTTGTAAGGCTTAAAGTGGGGGGAATTTCCTTCTGCCTTGTGTGTCAGTGTTGCTACATTCAAATGTCCATGTGGGTGTGCTGGGGTAGCTGAACTTCAGGAGATCGGAGCTAGCGAAAGGAGCCAGAAGTGAAGAAGAGTGAGGGTGAGCTCTATCTTTAGCGGGCCCAGGGTGCACACAGGGTTTCTGTGGGAGGAGAAAGAAGGAATTGCAGGAAAGCTGTGTACCAGGTGGGGTCTTCTGCATCCACAGGGGTGGCTCCTTTCTTGTGGCAAACCAGCTCCAGGGACTTTGACCTCCTGCAGCTGGCTAACTAAAGCCTAGGGGGATCCATCCGGCACAAGTAGTTATGGGGGAAGGGAGGGGGATTACAGGCAGTTTCGAAGGTCCCTGTTACAACTTCTCACTTGTTTGGGCTCTGGGACAACAGTTGGCCATTCAGTCTGGCTGCTTCCTGCTAACCCGGGATGCACATGTGAGAGAGAAATGAAAGCAGTACTTACGTGGCTGTGAGGAGATGCGCACGGGCCAGATTAGTAAACAACAGCCAAAGCATATAAGTAAAACGGTCTAGACACTGAAGCCCTACGGAAGTGCCTTTGTAAGTTCTAACGAGGGCCACGAACAGCAGGAGCAGATGCTGGAGGGGCATGGCAGAGGGTTAGGGTGCTCAGCTCATGGCAGACCCTACCTTGCTGCTCAGCAACAATGCTTCAGTACTTCAACTTACATATAAACAGCCTGCACACCCAGTGAATGCAACTTAATTTAGTACATGATTCCAGGCCACTGAAAAGATTTTTAAGCTGTGAGGAATTTATTTATAAATGTGTACCCATTTGTATTTATCTAACTTACCCATTCTCAGGTAGCCTGAACCCCCATAGAAATTTTGGGGCATTAAAGCAAAACCTAGATCATCACCATCTAGCTATTTTTTTTCAGCACCAGAAAGGGAGCCCAGGGCCTATACACTAAGCTACATCCCCATCCCTTTTTTATTTTGAGACAGGGTCTCACTAAATCCCTGAGTTACTCAGGCTGGGTTCGATTGTTGACCCTCCTGCCTCAGCCTCCCAGGATGCTGGGATTATAGATGTGCACCACCATATACAGCTTGAAATGAACATTTTGTATATTTTTAATTTAATCATATTATTAGCAACTAAAAGGGCAATGGCTGTGCCACTGTCATGGCGACACCACGATGCTAATAGTGAGATACAAGACAAGAGTGCTGCTCTTCCTCCTGCCACTTGTACTCCCTGGATTTTAGCCATTGGTCCCCGGGTGTTCAGGCCGCAACCTGCTAAAAGAGTATGAGTGAGTGAAGAGAGATCAGTAGAGGTTTTTAGGAGTTGGGTGACCAGGTCCCTGTCCCTGGAGCAGGTAGGGGACACCAGGGGCTGCACAGCAAGGTCTACAGAGCCCTAGGACAGCAGCAGAGCAATTTGTCAATCGATGGTCACCTTCTAGAGCCACTGACAGCTGTCTTCATGACCCACGAGAAACCTCTGAAGAGCAGCACACTGCCCTTCTGAAGCCTCCCCTCCAGGCTGATCAGTCTTTTGGTTAATTTTGGCTTTTGTCAACATTCATCTTAGATGAGAATGCCCAGGAGAAAGCATACTCCCCAGCTAGTTTGAGAAATTAGGCTGCTTGCTTCAATATTCCCATCTCACCCAGCAGGTAGGGCAGACAGCAGTCCTGAAGCTGGGAATTCCAGCCCTGGATCCAGGGAGACCTAAAAAGCAAGGCCATGGCTTCACCACTTGGAGAGTGCACAGCCAGGAAATAAAAGAATGAAGATAAGTTTATTACTTGCAGCAAGTAGTGAAAGTACTAGAGATAATTCTCAAAGCAGTGTCTTCCCAGACAAGGACAGCAAAGGGCTTTTATTGGGGAAACTCATGCATA